AGTTACTTGCAGTGTTGATAGAGTGAGGGAGTGTTTTGCATTTAGGCATTGGTGTTAAGAAAAAGGGCTAAAAGTAGTGAGATTGTAATTATGCCACAAATGGACTGTTTCTAATGAATACTGAAAGCTTTTGAAAGTCTGGTGTTTTATGTATGAATTCATTATAGGCATATTGCATCTTCTGGAGCAATACGTACCACAGTTTGTGTCTTCTTAATGGAATTTCAGGCTGGTAAAAACTTCATTAAAAAACTTCATTACAGAAATGCGCTGATAAAGGGTGATGCGTGGCATTCATTTTCAATTCAGTATACTAACACAAATTAGTGTGTACACAATGTGTGTGTGTGTGTGTGTTCTTACAATGTGTTTGTTTGACGCATAAAGGTAACTATGAACATCATGAACTAACTGGACTAAATATTGCTTTCACTGGGTACTGCAAGTACACTTTTTAACATTTTACACCATTCAGTTAAGACGCCTTTCATTACAGTCTTAAGCCAAATAAGATCTGCTATAATTTTTGCTGTCTGGTACAAAATTTGTAGATTGTCATGTACTTATTTTACTGTAAAACAGCTATTCTTGTAATGGTTAAAATTGCAATTGACAAGCCCAGTCCCAAACGACACACTTGACATGGTCTTGTGGCCTTCACGAGTGCTCTTTGTGGCTGCTATGCACCCCTGAAACACCATTATACCTAGCCTGCACTGGTGCAGACTATATAGTGGACTATTACCCAACAGTCCATGTGTTGTAGACTCGGAGGAGGACCACAGGAGCTAAAAATGCAATTTGGGACAAGGCTTTAATTAATGCACACACTACAACCAACCAACCTGCAAATACCTGTTGGCACCAGACGGCAGAGAAACTACTGGCAAATGTAGGCTCCCCTTTTATTTGAGCTGGATGTCAGAACATGACATATACTGTTGACATAAAATGGCCAGTCAACACTCTCAATCATGACCAAAAATGACAAAACTGTTGATGTCCACAATCTGCCTGAATTTTACTCAAAATTTCACTGCGGTCATATTGTACAATATGACTAAAAATAGTTTTATAAGTTGGCAAAAATCACACTGTACACCTGGCTTTAGCCCCCTGAGCATGCATTTGGAATCCTGAGCATCTCCATTCACCTATAATTTTGTCAGGTTGGGTTCTGACCACTTTCTGAATATAAGTGTGGTTCTGCACAATACCACCAAGGTTAAGAGGGTGGATGTGTAACAAAGCAAGACAAACATGTCTCGCTTCAAGAAGAAAATGCGCT